CATTCCATCCACAAATCATCACAAACCATCCAACCATCCATAAAACCATCTCTCCAAGACGTCGCGGGGGGAAGGGGGAGGGGGGGAGGGGAGGGGGGTAACTACAGAGAGGGCCCTCCGAGATGTCTATGGTGAAGCTCCATAGAAAGGGCCTTAGGAGATGTCTGCCTATGGGGGGACTTCCATGTAGAGGGTCCCCAAATATATCTATGGGGAACCTATACATAGGAGAGGAGGTGATCATCCCAAAGTAGACATCTTGGAGGTCCCTCATAGACGAGCTTGGGGGTCTCCCACAGCGTGAGTATAGGTGTATCTCACTACGCCACAAAGCTGCTGCTCACAGTTCTGATTGTGGCAGTCGCCTCCCTCTTTCAGTAGTTTGTAGAGCTGGGTGGCGCTTAGCTCCATCCTCTCTGGACCTCCGGTAAGTCCCATGAAGTCCCCTCTCTCTGCCACTTCAGCAAGTCCCATGAAGTGCATGGGACTTGCCATAGCATGTTTTTGGATTCCAAAAGGTCCCCATAGAAGGGCGATTGCGCTGAATAATGAAGTTGCTTCAGCTGCCTCCTCTCTGGGCGGCGCTTAGCTCCCTCCTCTCTGGACCTCCAGTAAGTCCCACGAAGTCCCCTCTCTCTGCAACTTCAGCGAGTCCCATGAAGTTTCATGGGACTTACCATCGCCTATTTTGGGATTCCAAAAGGCCCCCATAGAAGGGCGACTGCACTGAATAACAAAGTTTGCTCCACTTCTTCGGACTTTTGCTGGAATGCCCTCACCGACACATTGCTCGCTCGGACAAGCTGCTTAAATTGCATTGCCCCCAACTTGGAGCAACGATCACCCATCTCCCTTAAACCTCCAGAGGTACTTGGCCCGGTGTTTGGCCGGCGGTCGGTCGGGGTTTGGAACTTTGGGCCAGCCATTGATGAAACACATCAATGGTGTCCCCGACCTCCAGAGATTGCGGCACATATACGCCCCAGCTTGAAAATAATAGCTGAGCTGACCGCCGGAGTTTGGGGCAGCCATTGATGAAAAATACATCAATGGTGGCCCCGACCTCTGGAGGTTGCCGCACGTATACGGCCCAGCCTGAAAAAAAGAGCTGGGCCAAGTACTGGTGGTGTTTTTTTTTTTTTTTTTGAGTAAAAGCTTGCAACTTTCATTAACATTATGAAACTGAGCCCGGGAATCCCTCAACATCTCACAACCCGGAGAGCGGAATCGTAGCTAGTAGCTCAGTATGGTCACCCGCTGGAAACCGGGTCCAGCATCCCCATGACTGAAACGCAATTTTTTTTTTTTTTTTTTTTTTTTTTTTTAAATGTGACCCGATGTGTCACGGATCAGATATTAAACTGATCAGAACAGATACTACACTTGATCTTAGCATATACCTGTGTGCTTGTAATCTACGCTGGGACCGGGCCCAGCGTCCCTTTGTCTGCAGGCGTCTGGAAAAAATATTAAAAATATTAAAACTGGATTAACAAATTCCAAAGCAGTAATAAAAGGAGGAATTTGAACAAAGAAGAAGCGGTTAAACGCAACTGCCGGACGACTGTTCTGCTGTAACTGCCCAAAATGTCCTATCTAAGTAAAAGATGTGAACCTGTGAGCTTAGTCGGGCAGACCTCACATTGTTGTGAGTCTTGTCACTGTAGTTGAAGCCTACTGGTTATCAGAGGCTAGAAGCCATTGCGATATCCTCCTCATATCTCCTTCACTGGACACAGATACGAACCTGCCAGCTGCCGCCCATGTTTTCAAAAACCGGAATCTGTTTTTCCTCCTCCGCTCAGCGTAAATGGTTCTGCATTGCCCGTCCTTCATAAAGTTCATCGTCTGGGGGAGCGGGTGGAGCCGGTGGATTGGATCTCTCCTTTAAATATTTGGTCGTTGCGGGCTCTGCCCAGATGCCTTCCACGATACGATCACTGCCCTGCAGATCAGTGTGATGAAGGCTGGCCCTGAATTAAAACTTTTTTAAAACTGCGCTCTGGAAGAAGTTTGCCATGCAGAACGAAATCGTCAGTCCAGATGGAGTCTTGTCGAAAGCTCCCTTCCCAATTTTCTTTCCTCCACCACTCCCAGATCCAGATTTGATATGCGCGCGAGCATGGGCGTCGCCGCACGGGACACGAAACGAAAAACGAAACGAGTGCATCTTCCTGCAGAAAATGCCCAGGTTCATCGGTTTGCTGTAAATAGTAACGAGCGTATTTTGCCACCTTTGGTGGGCAGATGCACTCGTTTCGTTTTCGTTTCGTGTGCCGTGCGGCGAGACCGCATATGTAATATACGGTGGCAATAGAGAAGCCCCAAATTTGCAGTAAGTGGATGCACGCTGCCCATACTCATGCCGGACATGCCTCTGACATTATTTCTCTGACATTATTTCTCTGACATAATCTCTGACATAAATCTCTGACATAATCTCAGCCATAATCTCGGACATCATCTCAGCCATAATCTCAGCCATAATCTACGACGCACCGCTGACATGATCTCTGACATCACCGCAGACATGCCTCTGACATCATCTTGCACAATCCGATGTGGACAACCTACAGGGCCACCAAACTTTCTATCGGACGATGGGCTATCCCCAACTACCGGCGGCCCAAATTAGGACCGATCAGCTGAATTTTCCTTTCTCAGGGTCTTCGTAGATTTCATTCAAATGAAGCCTCCGACCCCACTTTCCTCTGACATCATCTTGGACAACCTACAGGGCCTCCAAACTTTATATATCGAACGTTGGACTTGCTTTTTTTTTTTTTAATAAAGGTAATCTATATTCTTCTCTCTCTCTCTCTCTCTCTCTC